GCTGCGCCCGCTGAGCGCCGCTCGCCGCCTCGGCGCCGGGGGGGGCGGGGCCGCCCCCGCCCCGGTCCCCCGCACCTTTGAACGATGATCACAGTCAACGCGGATGGGAAAATAATGGTCAGAAGATGTCTGGTCACCTTGAGACCCTTTAGGTAAAGTTGCCGTTTTATTGTCCCTCCTCTTCCCCTTCTCCTCGGCTCCCCCCACCCTGCTCGGCCCCTCCGGGGTTGCAAGCGGGGTCTGAACACATTTTGCACGCGAGCTTCCCCGGGGGCGGGGAGGAGGGGGAATTGATCCCAGATTAAAATATCAGGGATCCAGGCAAGTTTGCCCGCAGGTCAGCGTGCTGGGAGCCGGTGCTGCGGCACTCGCTGCCCGTAATTCACTCGTTACGCAGGTATCCTTTGGGTATTAATTGCAGGTCTGTTGTTGCTGTCTTTTTTTAATACCGTCCCCGGAGGTATTTATACTCACTGGGAAATCATTTCCTCTCGTTTAAATCCAGTGGTGCTGACGGGCGTTTTTAAATCCGCCCTGGATAACGGGCAGCAGAGCTGGGGTTGCTATCCAAGCCTGAGACCCTCCAGCTCCAGCATGGCCATGCCCACCTATTGCTGTTTCCCTTTGGTGTAAATCTCCCCATTTTTGCTTCCTCACCTTCACTTTCCCATCTCCAGTCTTTGCTCTCCAGCTTCCTTATTCACTCTTTAGTCACTCCCAGACTTGAGAAGCATTGGAGACGTCAGTAATTTTTTTCTTTTGTTTAATGGGGAGAGGGACCAAAAATCCACAAGAGGGGGGAAAGTGCTGGGCAGCAAAGCCCAAAGGGGGTGAGGTGAGCCTGTCTCAGCAGTTTTCAGTGATGCCTGCTATGTAAAGGAGTTGGAGGAACCTGCCCACCAGCTTTTTAATGTAGCCACAGGCTACCAATCTGGGGTTGGGGAGGGAGGAAAGGGCTATGTTTGTGCTACTTGCTTGTGGTCAGGTTTGCAGATTTTGTCCGCCTCGCTCCAAGAGTTGCACAGCTCTGCACCGCTTTCCCTGGGGGATTCCTGCTCTTGGATCCCGTGGCAGTGCCCTGGAATGGACAGCTGAGGGACTTGGCCAAGGTCACCCAGGAAAGCGGTGGCAGAGCAGGGTTGTGGGGTCCCCATGGCCTGGGTCATGCTCTGAATGGGGTCTGCTCTGCTCTGGGTGCAGGGCATGCAGGCAGCTCCATGTGGAGGTGGGTCAGCAGGGTTGGCACCTCCCCATCATCTGGGAGAGACTTTGGCTCCTGTCTGCCAGCGGATGGGCAGAAAGGGGTGAAGCTCTCGGGCTGTGAGTTTGTAACTGCAGTGGGGAATGGCAATGAGAGATAGGCAGGACACATGCACCCTGGAGGGGCAGCATATGCTCAGCACAGCTTGGAGAGTGGCTATTTTATTTTCTCAAGCGTGCATTAGTCCCTAATGCTGATGTTATTGGTCTGAGTATCCCTCTTCCCCCCATCCCCACTGCCGGAGCAGGGAAAGCTCATCAACAGCTGTGACCTGGGATCCGACTTGCGGGAGGGAGTCGAGGGAGTGAGTCGTGAGGTGCCGGCAAGATCTGATCAGAGACGAGGAGGTGTGCGTGTGAGGGTCTTGTGATGAAAGGAGACCACTAGGCTGGAGGGTCCCTGGTGCCTGTAACAGAGCAGCAGTCCCTAGATAGTCCTTTCGGCACTCCCTGAGCTGGCTTCTGCTCTCAAACTAGAGCAAACTAGTAAGGGTGCCACTGGGACCCGTGCAAGTTACTCTATTGTTAACCAATCAGGCTTTCCCTCAAGGAAGAAATTTCCCCCTGTGTCTACCATGACACCCTCGTCCGGTTGTCCCACCACGTCCAGCTCTGCACTGTCTCCATGCTGGTGGCGTGCTGAGCCTGACCCCTCGTAGCATCTCGGTCCTGTGGTGTTGTCACCTTGTATGCAGCCCAGCATGGGCTTGCACGGGCTGCCCGAGTTCAGCCATATCAACGCTGCTCCCCAAAAATCGGCATCCCACGTTCTCAGCCGATGTGACTCAGGGACGACCTGCAAGGAGCAGGAGAAGATACTGCTGTGGCAGTAACCAGGGTAGGTCATGTAGGTCAGGTCTGTGTTACTGGCTGGGCAGAGCTGTGCTGCTCTGTAGAAACCCATAGTGTGATCCCCTGCTTTGTGTAAACTCTTGGCAGCGGTGCCATCAGCAAACACTGAATGGGAAACCTGACCCTTTGCACCAAAACATTTCATTAATCATGCTCCAGACATGTTTAGCAAAGCGATGCAAAGCCCTGAGCTGTGCAAGTGCCTGCAGCAAAGGGGAAGCAGAGCAAGTCATTGTAGGAACAATTTGTTGAAACATCCAGGGATGGCTCTGCCTTCAACCTAAGCAGCACACGAGTGTTTAATCTGTGACAGTGCCAGATAAAGGCAGGAATTCACCGTGTGGCTGGGAGAGCCCTGGCACCAGCCAGCCCAGGTCTTGGTTTTGCGGAGCGTGGGGAGTTAAAGCAGGGAGTTTGAGAAAGTTTGCAGCAAGAAACCAAAGCCAGGGTTTCCCTGTATCTTTAACAATGGTCGATAGGAGAATTTATTCTGTGTGCCCTTCTGTCAGTCTGGAGGAAGATTCCTGTGTCTGAGCATCGTTTTGGCAGCAGCAGCGCTATGACAGTGTAGGGCTATGAGCAAAACAAGGTTTATGGGAGAGGGTGTATTTTTTATTTACCCAGCTGCAGCTGTTAGAAATTGTGGTTCAACTTTTGGGCTCAAGGGCCTTGGATCTTGAAAACTTGTCTGATGAACAGACAAGTTCATAAACCTTTCTCCCGTAGGTTTCTCAAACGTTTTAGTAGCCTTCACCCTATATGGGCCAGAAGCACGGTGGGCCATTGCTTGGCGCTGCAGCACCATGGACAGCCGGCCCATGGTCCCTGTCCCTGCGCTGCATCTCGGGGTCCCCGCGCCATGTCCCAGGGCCCCCGCTTGGTCATGTTCCGCCTCATGACACAGGCCCTCCTGGCCTCATTCAGCTTTCAGTTATGCAGGCTAAAATGCTCTGTGACTGTGCCACGCTGGGGCATCATTTCCAATTTGCGGTGAAGGCACAGCAGAACTTGGCTTCCTCCTCTTTTGGGCATGAAGCCAGAAAGCAGAATTGTGAAAATTTCAGTTTGGGGTAGATCTGTAGAGGGAATTGGTGCCAGAACTGTGCGCAGTGAGAGCACCATGATGATGAATTAGATGTGACGTGTGATGACAGCCAAAGCCAGCTTGCAAAGGAGATGTTACTTGGTCATTGAAGCTGTGTGATCTTCAGTGAGCGAGACTTAATTTTGGGGACAGAGAGCCCAGTGCATTTGATGGGCAGTTCTGAAGATCTGGGCCATGGTATATTTTATCTGCTTCACAGTATTAGTTTTCTGCACAAGGAATTTACACTTGGCTGAGGCTGGGCCAAGGATTTTTATTCCTCAGGAGATCAGCACAAAGTAAAAGAGACAGGATCTTCAAATCAAGAGCAAGTCCCCAAAATCTCCTTACTCACCGGAGCATTTCTGTTGAACTGGATGCCACTTCTCTCTTAGGTAAATTAATTAGGGTTAGGCTCTGATGCCTCTTTTTTTAAAAAGCATCCTGAATCCCCCACTGTCTCTATAGTCCATTCAAAATCAAAGAGAATTTGTCTCCTAATGAGATGCTAGGGCATAGATCACCTTTGAGGCTTTTTCTCTTTCTTTCTTTCTTGTGTTTGAACCATCACTCCTTACCAGATTATAATTATGAAGATTAAAATGCATAAACAAGGTCTTGCATAATGATGCAGATATTATCAATAGGGAGGATGAGAACGAAGAACAGGATTAGCTCTGATGATTTAAACAGCTGTCCCTCAGGTCATGCTTCATTGAAATGTGCTTTGGGGAAGGGGGAGTGGCTGGCAGGCAGGACGGGGCCGTCAGGTGCGTTTTACACTCGTGACCTGCCCCTAGAAAAGACCCTCAGTCCCAGGCTGAGGGACTCACCCAGGGTTATGCAGAAAGTCGGTGGCATGGCTGGGGCTTGACCTCCTACTTCTTCACCTTGTGCCTTCTCCACAAGGCTGTTTTCATCCTCTGCCAGGTAGAGGCCACAGCAGACAGCATTTCCCATATCCTATTTTAAGGCAAATTCAGACCCATGAGGCTGAGCTGGGATTGCTACCCACTCTGTCACGTTCCCGAGTGCCAAGTCACAGCGGAGAGCCTCTTCTGGACCCATCACTGCACCACATGGTTGGGCACAGGACCCTGCTACTGGGGGGACAGGAAAGGGGTTGGGTCTGAGGTCCCCAAACCTGGAGAAACGTCATTACTTTGCAGTGTCAGGGATGTTTTGCCGCCTCGACACCCAGCTCCCTCCAGGAGCTGAGCCAAAAGGCCCTCCGTAAACCCTGCTCCAACGTCCACTTTGGGTGCCTCCAGGACCTGGCTGAGAGAGGGGGCTGAAGTCTGTAATTGTGTCTCCATGTGCTGAAGCAGAGCATCTGCCAGGGAGGTGGTGGTTCAAGGGCACTCAAGACTTGCCTATAGAAAGGCTTTCAGAGACATGAGCCTGGATTAGCCAAGTGCGTGATGCTTTTCATAGCCTATTTAAACTGTTTTCCATCCCCAAGGGGCTGCTCATTCAGAAATAAAAGGGACTTTATCTACTTCACTCCTGAAGTATTTACACGGGGCTTTGAGGGAATTTTATCACTCCACTTGGATGTCCTATCTCACACAGGTCAGCTCTCTGAACGCCTGCCAGTGCTGGCATTCGGTGCCGCTTGCCACCAGACGCTTGCAGAGCCCCTTGCTGCCATCTGCCTCCCTCTCTGCCCAAGGAGCCAGAGCAAGGACGTGCCCCAGCCTCGGTTGCTTGGGACAGGAGGGTGATGTTTTTTGGGGTGAGGAGGGCAGGGATGGGAGAGAGACTCTCTCCCTCTCCTCCTCTGCAAGCCTTTCCCTGCACGCAGGAGGCAACAGACCTCAGTGGCTCCTCTAGGCTCACCAAATTAATGGTAACGAGCAGGGTGTTACTTTGCTCCTGACTGAGCAAGAGGTCAGAAGTTGGTTGGGAGCTGCCCAGAGTCAGTAAACCTGTGACCAGGTGACATTGATCTGCTGTGAGACCCAGCTGGGGGAGAGTCTATAAATATAAGCCAGGCAGGAACCATGGAGTGGTGAGGGTAGGTGGGTTGCTGTGGTGGGTGGAGGTTGGGCTCAGTTCCTTGGAGCAAGCACCTTTCTCTGGAGATGGCTGTGTGCTGTGAAGAATGTTGTAGCGGGTGCAGGCTCAGTGTGTGCTCACTGTGCAAGAAGAGCATCGGTGCTGGCGTGGGGAGGTAGGTTGCCTGAGGGCTCCCCTGAGCATGCCATGTCTCGCAGGGGCAGCTGGTGGGGGCCAGGGCTGTGTCTGGGGGCCTCCCAGGGACCTGCTGTGGATGCTCCTCCGGGCAAGTCTCCTTGAGCAGCCCTAGAGCTGCTTAATGCTATATACTTCACCTTTCCCAAATCTCTCCTTTAGTTAATAAGTGCTTCAGAGCAAGTTGCTTTATTTGCCAGCTTGTTGTAACAGTAGATAATTGCAACGCTTATGTGCTGTAGGCCAAGCTTACAGCTGGCGCCTAATCCTCTGCTCTTTTGGCTACAATATAATGATTCTGTATTGGGATGTTGTGCCCCTTTCCAAACTGGTCTCTGGAAAAGTGTGTCTGCTGTCCCTGTGGCTACAGAGCCCCACAGATAATGCTGTTAAGTTGTCAGCTAGTGTTGCTGTTTCCTATTCTCAGTGGTTTACTTTCTGTGAGTCCAGAGATGCCAAGAGGCAGAAATGCTAACGAGCACACATATAGTGGTGTTGGGCTCCCTTGCGAACAGAGCACTTGCCTATTTAAAGACGAAGCCTTTGCTTCACAAGGCTATTTGGCAGTTGTCTTTTCTCCCCTTTCTCCTTGAAATTTTCTTTGGGCTTGGCTGACTGGCTAGTTAAAACCTGTGTTACTTAAGACAGCTCTGGGAGCTGTTGCCCACAGTACAGAAACTGCTCTGCTCTGCATTTTGCTTGCATGCATGTTGGAGAACGCTGCACCTTGAAGGAGATTTGGATGTGGCAGCAGCTCCTTTCTGAGGCTATGGAAAAGAGCCAGAAATGCTTGCTGGGTCTTGGCTCTTTCAGTGTGCTGCATTCCCATTAACAGCAGCCAAATCTCCTTTTGAAAGAGTAAGGGGATTTTTGCTCCCTGTTGACAGGAGCTGCATACTGAATGGCCCTGATCTGGCCCATGGAAGTGCTCCAGGCACTGAGCTATGGGTGGCTTCAAAGGTGTTTGCTGTAAAAATGTCCTTTTAAAAAGAGATGTTGTGGGGGAGCGGGCTTGGGAGGTACGGGCCTAACACCTTAGCTTGCCCCAGTTGGCCATGAAGCTCCAGGTGCTGCTGGCCTCCTGTGCTGGTTATCAGGTCTCGTGAGTGCCAGAGCTCCTTCTTGGCCTCCAGAAAATGCACTTCAATAGAAATTAATAAAGAAACTCTTTCCTCCTGCCTTGGAGAAGAGGCTTTAAAGCTCAGATATGTGAACTGAAGGCTCTCTTCTGGAAAGCCTTTTCCAGAATCCTTTCTGGGAGAAACCTGGCTGGACTAAGGCCTCTGCCCTTCCTCTTCCTCCCTGTCTCTCCAAGCGGCATGCTGCCTGTTGCATGCTTGTCTGCCAAGGAGGCTGGCAGGCCTTTGCATTATGCTTCCCCATTATGCAATAGCCCACCTGTTTGCCCAGAGCTCCTGCATTCAAGCTTTTTGCCCCCCAAAATGCTGCTCTGGTTGAGTCCAGGCCAGTAAGAGTAATGCTGGCAGCTCTTGCACCTCTTGAAGCAAGAGGTGATGCAGGAGCTCTGCTCTGCACTACGTGCAGACCGGCATCCTGCCATGCGTTTTCCCATGGGAGCTGGTTTCCTGCTCTCTGGACAAAGCAAGCCGCAAGGGGAGTGTGCCTGAGCCGCGGGCTCTTGCCACTAGCACGGCTCAGTCGTCGCCGGCTGTGAATGGAGCTGCCCGCTCCCTATGTGCAGAGCTGGGCGCGGTGACAAGTATCAGTGGCCTAGTTGCAGGAGGAACAAAGGAGCTTTTTCTTAGATCCTTTGGAAGGAAAGGAAGGTGCAAGGTCTCTCTTTCTTTTGGTCTCTCTCTGAAGGAAAATGGGTATTGTTTATTGTAACAGCTCCTGTAATCCGCAGGGGATGTTGGGGGTTATTGGGTTAGATATAGCAATGCATCATGAGGTGAGTTTTGGTCTGTCCCAAGTTTCCCACCTAAGGCATGAGTTTGATGCCCCCTGGGGCAGGTCGCAGCAATTTCAAGATGTGCTGGCTGCGCTGGGATGGAAGGTTGTTGGCAGGTGTCTGGCTGATGGAGCAGAGGCTTTTTGCCTCTTTTGCCCTGTGATTTGGGGGGGAGGATATTAGAAACATTTTTTATCGTGCACATGGGCCTATGGGAGAGTGACCGAATTTGCAAGGTGCTACCTGGTAGCTTGCAGCCCGAGGCAGCTTGGTCAAGGCCTCGACTAAAAGCAGGGTGGACCGTTGCTGCAGGGCGGCGGCTAGGGATGCCAGCCTGCGTCATCTGGCAAAACCCAGCTGCTCTGTGCCCACATTTGGGCAGAAGTGTCTACTCTGGGCTCTCTAAGTGGGTTTGGCTCTGGCTGTGGTTGGAGGTGATATACTCAGGCAGGTAGATAGTCGGAGGTTACGTTACTGGGGGCAGCAGAAACGTGCAGGGGGGTTACCCTAGGTGGGCTGGGAGAGACAGAGCAGCATTTGAGGGGGCTGGTTCCTCATTGCTCCTCCTTACCACTCTGCTTCTCTCCTGCAGGATATTCGTGCTGGGCATTGGATTTTTCACCCTATGCTTCTTAATGACGTCACTGGGAGGGCAGTTCTCGGCCAAGCGTCTGGGGGACTCTCCCTTCACCATCCGCACCGAAGGTAAGGGCCTGCATGGGGCTGCTTGGTGCCATCCCACCCCTTGTGACATCTGACAGCTGCTGGGTCTGTGGTCTGGCCATGCTCCAAGGATGGCGCTTGGGTGTTGGATACTCTTCCCAGAGCTCCCTTGGGTTGTCCCTGCTGGTTGCAGATGTGTTGGGACAGCTCAGGTCCTGCTGATCTTTCCTGGCCTGGTCTGGGGTGGTTTTGAAGGTGTGTGGCTAGGAAGTGGCCGTGTTGGCATCCAGGCCTGTGCAGGCAGAGCTGGGGCATGTGTGTTGCATGTTGAAGCAGACCCTGTCTTGCAGCGAGGTAATGAGAAAAACACCAGTGAGTGGGGCTGGCGGCTGCAGTGCTGGTTGCGAGTCTGTGCCTGGTCCTATGCGCTGAGGATGGGAAAAATAAAAGGCCTTTGTGGTTTCCTGGTGGTTCTGAAGTGTTGAAGAAAATATTCTAGTTTTAACAAAGCTTGTGTTCTGTTAATTTTTTCTAAAATGCTTTTTCTGGAAAGATGTACAGTCAGTTCAGGAGATGGTTCCCTCATCAGGAGGGAGTTGGTGTCCTACCTGGCAGAGCCAGCTTGGCTCCTCTCCTTCAGTCAGGACTGCGGGGGGAAGTCTCCATTTCAATTGTGAGACAAATGTAGCAAGAGGAAGCAAAGTGGCCGAGTTTGGACCCAGGCTGTGCAGGGGAAGTTGAGCAGAGAAGTGGGATTTGGGACCGTCTCTGGGGCATCTCCTATGGTGGGGTTTTCTGGTCAGGGAGGACGTTGTTACACTCAGCTGGGTTTTACACTGACTTTCTGGTCCCAGCCTGGAACAGGACAACCAAAATCCTCTGAGGACAAGGCCCTGTTTAACATCTATGAGCAGGGTGAGGTAGTTTTGGGAAAGCCAGCTTGGAAGGTATATACCAAAAGTGTGGAAGGATTGAAGCTCCCTGACCTTGTCTGGAATATGCTCTCTGGAATTAAATCCTTCTTGGGATGCTGGAAGAAATGGTATTGCGTTCCTAGAAAAGAAGATAGCCAGAGAAGTGGTTTCCAAAACTCTGATGGTGCTTGTAAACTAGTTACCTTCCAGAGAAATTAATGTGTAACGCAACCTTTGGCAGTTGTCTTAGCTTTTTCCCTGGTGGATAGAGTACGAAGCAGTTTGTGTTTCTTTCCTCCGTGCTCCCCTAACTGTTCCCATCATGAACTCCATTAAGTCCCCTCTCCAAGGGATTGGTGTTGGCACAGCTGACATCAGCCTGAGTGGTACTGAGTTTTCTTATTTTGCCTTTCCTTAATTCCTGCATGCATTACTGTGGTCAGGATATCTGCTCCTGCAGAGGAGGGTAGGCAACAGAGGGGTGGTGCGAGGGAATTGCAGTAACACCCCTGTACCCGTGCCAAGTGCAGCCCTCAGGCTGGTGACCGGTGAATCAAGCCTCATTATAGGTGACATCTTTGTGCTCCTCGATTTGGTGGTCTGGGCTCTCTCGCTGTATTTTGTGGTTAACGGTGAGGCTGTTCCTGCAGGTACTGCTGTGTTGTGGCATGAGTCTGAGCTCTGCTTGGCCAGCCAGGAGCCAGAGCAAAGTCATTGAGTTGTTGGCCTCGACAGCTGAGCTTTGGGGTGAGAAGTGCTGTGTGAGCACGGAGAACCGCTTTGTCCCAATTTATCTTTTTTAGGAACTGGATGGTGAAGAAATTCCCAAGTTCTTACCCCTGCCCTCTGTCCCAGGAGAGCCCCAGCACCCTCAGGAGCTTGTGATAGGGGAAAGGGGCATATGGAGAACCAGAAGAAAGGCAGAGGGGGACTATCTAGTTGTAGGAGCCAGTTAGAGCTGAGAGATGGCACAAATCACAATGCAAACAGCAGGCAAAGGTGCTGAGAAACTTGCGGAAGTCCCTAGTCCCACCTCAAAGGGGTCTCCAAAGCTGTAGTGAAACTAAAGCAGAAGGACAATTATTCAATCTCTGTCTCCTTTATGGGTACCTTAAAGTAGAATAGCTCATCCCATCCTTACACTGGTCATCAGGTAGATCGTGACACACGAGACCACTCATTTCCGGTCCTTGTGTGTCTCTTGTTTAACAGATGCAGTGTCAGCGTAGTTAGGTCTCATCAGTGAGTAAAAAACATCCCTTTTCAGGCTGTCTCACCTCTTGAGTCATCCACACTTATTGTTTTAGGTGACTGAGCCAATTTATACGTTTTGATTTACTTTCTTGCAACTGAGCTCCAAGTTGTGGGTTGACTTGACTTTGATTGCTGCACCAGATGTCTGTTAAGAGCCACCTTCCTTGCAGGTAGGGAGGGATAGATATTTGCTGCTTCGTTCCTAGGCTGAAAAGGTTTGGATGTTAATTCTGGTAATTCCTGATCATGTGCTATTTAAAAAAAAAAAAAAAAAAAAAAAAAAGGCGGGGTCTTGAACCCCAGGATTTTGACTCAGGCTTTCTAATTTTCAAGCTTTTGGCTTCTTAGATCTGTAACTCTGGCTAAGACAAGTACTGTTTCATTAGAAAGCTCATGAAAAATGTACAGTAAAACCATTTTTTTCTTTATTGGATGGGATTTGCAAGAACAGGCTATTGCTTCCAGATGAACTGCTGCAGACTTGGCTGTTATATGTTTCTTCTTTGGAAATATCTGGTTCATTTGTCTAATTCACAGTTTTGGAAAATGGAGGATTTTTTGTCCTGTTTTTCTTTTGAAGGAAGGATACTTTTTGGGGCTGTATTCTCAGTACCCAGGGCTTCTCAGGTGCAACATAAGGCATTTTCTGGCTCTTTAGCACAGAGCTCAGGCTGCTGAGGTTCAGCCTCTCCTGTGATACCAGTGCTTAGGGTCTGGCCTTCCTGTGGAGTAACTAAGCTGCTGCAGTGTGGTTCACCTGTACGTGGTACTGAATGCACCAAAGGCAAAGCGAGACCAAGACCCCAGGGCATGTCCAAGCCTAGGGCTGGATGGAAGCTGAGAGAATTGGCCAAAACCACTGCAGACCCCTCTCTCTCCTCTTTGAAAGGCTGTAGTAGTTGGGGGCCCTTGATGGGTGGAAGAAGCAAACATCACTCCCATCCTCCAGAAAGGCTGGAGGGAAGCCCCAGGGAGGTTTGTGCTGGCCACCCTCCCCAGTGCCCTGGGGAAACCATGATCCCTGTCCTCAGGTGGGCTGATGGAAACTCCCTCCTTGAAGAGTTTTGAAACAACTCTGGATGAGGCCCTGAGTAACCTGATCTGACCTCCAGGCTAGCTCTGCTTTATGCAGGAGGGGCTCCGGAGGTCCCTCCTAGCCAAAGTTACGCTGAGCTGGAGTGGAGGTGTGCTAAATGCACGTTTAATTCAATGAGGGTTGAGGGGAACAGACACGGTTATGCTTTTTATTACAGTGCTATAAAGTCTCGGTAGGTCTGTTTGAATAATAAACTGGTATTTAATTAGCATGCGTTATGGATCCCGAGGAAACTGAAGAAATATTGCTGGCTGTTATAGTTGCTGTTAAGTGCACAGCGCTGGTCTGAGGAGCAGGTTAATTTGACTGGGCTGATGTGAGTGATGGTGGCAGTCGCTGGCATTCAGACGCCTCCTGGCTTGGTTTGGGCCCATTGATTTGAGAGGGATTGTTTGGGTGCACATGCTTAAATCTGCTGAGTGTCTACACGTAGGCTTAAATATCTCTCTGGACGGGGTGCCTGGGTTGGGGTGCACAGAGCAGTGTGAAACCCTTGGGAGCGCAGCGGCTGTCCTGCCTGAGGAAGGAGTGCTAAGCTGTCCCTGCTGCTGTTCGGCAGGTGCTGGCTGAAGCATCGGGTTTAGCTGGCCCTAACTGAGCATTATTCATTAACTTATTCTTTCTATATTGCAAGCTGGCAGCACACCTTCCCCATACAGTCTGTGTGTGTGCTGTTCTACTACCAGGGCTGGTGTATCTATGCAGGTGCTTTCATGGCTAGCAGGGGCCTGCTCCTGCGGTCCTTCCTGATGATGATCTTGGCTCTACCGGCTGTGTGCTCTGGTTCCAGCCTCGCAGACATGTCCGTGTTTCCATGTGTCCCGCTGGGCTGAGCTGCACAAGTGAGCCTATATCTCAGCTTAAATGCTTGCAGGATTCGAGTGGTTGCAAAGAAATGCAAGGTGAAGCTCAGCACCTGACCATTTAAAAATAACTTGCATCAGAGCAGTCCTGTCAGGCTGTGGTTAAGTGGTAAAGGCCATTGATCCAGTGTCTGTTTAAAATCCTGTGTGTGCCGTTCTGATCTTGGCTGAGGGTCTCAGCCTGAGGGATTTGCTCCTATTTCTCCCTGGGTGTCCAGACCAGCCCAACCCAGCATTAAACCTTGGGAGTATTAATGTGAGCTGGATTTGCTCCCCTTGCATATTGCCAGCCAAACTCCGCTCTTGACGTGAATTTACCCAAAACATGCTCCAGAAGGAGGAGGTGACTGCCCAGGATGGTGGAGGATAGCAGGAGAAGCACAATGTGAAAACACCATAGACTTACCATGAGCTTTCTTAGCTTCCAGGCTGTGAGTAGCCAAGCGAAACCGAAATGAAGATAGATGCAAGGCAGAAGTGTGAAAAGGAGAAATGGATAATGCCACAGTCCAAAAGTTAATCCCATTTTTAATTTTATTTTTATATGCGAATCCTTTTCTAGGAGGCTCTTTCCAGAAACTGAGTTTCTTGGTGTGTGCCAGAAATCATTCTTCAGATGGATTCTCTGCTTGATGATTTGATACTATAGAGGCTTTGCATCTTAACAATAAATGAAAAGCCTTCTGAAATGCAAGTTATTTATCCTAATCTGCTGCTATCAAGTAAACACAAACAAAGGTTCCTTTGTTTTGAAATGGCCACCAAGAGAATTTGTTCTGCAAACAAAAATCCAGTTAAAAAAAGAAAATAGACAAGTCTATAAATTTTGAATGTAGGAGAGACTTTGGGAACAGCTCTAGACTCCAGAGATCCAGTTTTCTTTGCCCTTTTCTTTCCCCCTCGTTAGAATTTGAA